AAAAAAAAAAAAAAAAAAAATTACAATAACCAACTAAACAACAGAAAGAAAAAAAAAAAAGAGGCTAAAGAAAAAAAGACCACTTAAAATTTAATGTGTACAATCAATTTTAAATTATTTTTTTTTTTTTTTTTTCTTGAACAAATCTTATTTTCTCAAAACTTATTCTTCAATAAAACCAAAACCAAAAAAAAAGGGGAGACGAAAGAAAAAAGAAAGAATGCTGTAACATTCAAAAAAAAAAATTTTATATTTCAATAAATTCATCTCAACCAAATCACATCATCGTCATCACCATACCATCACTGGTACCAATAAACGAGCAACAAAAAAAATCAGTTGACAACAAAATACTACTACCACCACCACCACCAACAACAACAACAATAACAACAACAATAAAATAAAGATCCATATTTTTTAGTTGCAATTTTATGTTAATATAATTTTTAGCTGCAACAGTTGAAATAAAATTAAAAAATAAATTTTTTTCTTTTTTTGAAAAACTATTATTTGCCATTGCTTCTGGACAACAGGCAGTCAAACAGCCAGACAGGCAGACGGACAAACAACCCAGACTGGACAGACAGTCATGCAATTAAGCAAAAACACAACCACTCAGTTTGGTCGCCGGCCATCAGTCGCGCGGGTCGGTCAATGTGAATATATGTGAAAATCGGCGGTGGTTAAGTGGGTTCCGTCAGTGACCGGTACAGTGTTACGTGCTTTAACGATTGTTAATGATGGAAAATCGGTTGGAAGTTCCATAAAAATCATCGTCAACAACATCATCACGGTTGTCATCATCATTAATTCAGTAAACTGTTGTTGACAAACTGATGATACTTGAGGTTTTTATTCACTAGGCCAGTTGCTATTAGCTGTAGAACATTCAATTGCATAGGTTACTTTTGGCCCTTACAAGTTAGACGTTTTGCTAATTTTGCCCATCATAATCATGCGGTACACTAAGGTGTATTGTCATCGTCAACTACAAACACATTTAATGAAACAATAGCAGCGTTCAGGTGTTCATTTTCTCTTCCAATCAGCTGTTAACCAACGCAGTAAACAGCATTCACAGCTGTCCACTGCTGTGCTATATTTGCTGGTCTTCTATCAGATTAGCTGTTCATCAGTTAACGAGCCTACATAGACACATAGACAGTTGCTGAAGAATCAAAAATAAAATTTCTCCGCAAATCCACG